TTGCCTTAGCCGTATCTGGCACAACTTTTCTGTTTTTAAAGCTCTACAACTTCGTATTTGATCTGGCCTTACAACTGTTTTAATATTTATGAGTCTTATGTAGACAAAACGCGAGTCTGGAGTACAAAACTGTAAGCCTGGTATCTTTGATGAGTTTTTACAATGTCTACAAATACCACTGAAAGTTTCGTATTCGAAACATAAATTGAACAAGATTCAACAATCCGTAATTAAAAGTCACATTAATCACAATTCTGCAATTTGTAATTGATTAACGGTGAATTTGGGTTGTCATAAAGAGCAAGGTCAATTTGAGCTTCACAATACACGTTTTAAGGATTTGCGATCCAAGGAATTGATTACCTTAGCTGTATTTGGCAAAACTGTTCGGAATTTTCGGTCCTCGATGCTGCTCAAGTTCGTACTTTAATTGGCCCTTTTTAACCTTTTTGTTTCAAGCGTCACTAATGAGTCAATTGTAGACAAAACGGCAATTGTAATCCTGGTATCTATGATGAGTTTATGTGCCCCACCCACTTATCTATGGTTACGTAATACCACCGTTAAATGTAAAATCTCATTTCCTTAGTGAGCGTCACGTCAACCAAAAACCATATAAACTATAAACCAAGACGTTACAAATAATAAGTCCTTTATAGGTGAAACAATTCGTGTACAAGATTAATTTTCCTAGATATTAATTGTATTGAGGTTGTTTCATTACTTCTGGAAGTATCCCACTTTGATGGTAGCTACATTATATTTTTGTAAAATTGTTGAGTATGGCTAACAAGAAGAAAGGGGTAAATGTCAATAAGACAGTAATCTAAAAAAAAAGAGACACCTAAAAGTAACCATATGTACGTAAGTAGGGTATCGCCCACCCTATGCAGGTAGGTCTCAATCTCCCATAATCTGCAAAAGTTATTACTGGATTAAGTAGATACGACAAAGGATCGGACATCAGCATCATAATTACAAATAAACAAAACCAAAACATTAAGGTAATGTCAAATTTCATAACATCTGCCTCTGTACTTCTATATAGATCTTTTATAGCTATGCCATATATCAGCATCAATGTAGACACAATTTTTACAGTTTAGAAAAAAGATAAAAGAAAATTTCTAGTTTGAAAGAGTTAATTAGAGCGTCTCGTTTCAATCTACAATAAAATGCTCCGCTTGGGCGCAGCTTCATACGACCGCAGAGGTCGAACCCTGAACAGTTGGGGCAAGTATTGACACAACATTCAAGCTTGATACAGCACTGAATTTGGATTGTAATTAAATATTTGACACAGCATAGGTTTCTCACACAGAATGAAAGTGGTCTAAGGAACTTAAAATTTTTTAATTTACCTATTCAAACCATATCATTATTATTTGCTTTTATATATAAATCAGAAATAACCAATTTAAAATGGAAAATGTTAAAGAAAAAAAAGGAAAAAAAATTCCCCTCCAATTTTTTTGAACCCCCTTATGATTCATCACCCCCAAACTCAATCCCAGCTTTCCCTTTGTGGTATGGTACCTTGCAGTACAATTTCAGAGAGATCCATACACTTGAACACAAGTTATTGTCTGGAAACTAGAAAAATGCTTGTTTTTTTGCCCCTTTTTGGCCCCAAATTCCTAAACGTTTAGGGCAATTACCCCCAAACTCAAACCAAGCTTTCCCTTTGTGATATGGAACCTTGCAGTACAATTTCATAAAGATCCATACACTAACACACAAGTTATTGTCCTGAAACTAGAAAAATGCTTGTTTTTTTACCCTTTTATGGCCCCTAATTACTAAAATTTTGAGGGAATTACCCCCAACATCAATCCCAGCCTTCCCTTTGTGGTATGGTACCTTGCAGTACAATTTCAGAGAGATCCATACATTTGAACACAAGTTATTGTCTGGAAACTAGAAAAATGCTTATTTTTGGCCCCTTTTTGGCCCCTTATTCCTAAACTTTTTGGGCAATTACCCCAAACTCAATTCCAGCTTTCCCTTTGTGATATGGAACCTTGTAGTACAATTTCATAAAGATCCATAGTCTTACACACAAGTAATTGTCATGAAACTAGAAAAATGTTTGTTTTTTGCCCCTTTTTGGCCCCTTATTCCTAAAATTTGGAGGCAATTACCCCCAAAATCAATCCCAGCATTCCCTTTGTGATATGGAACCTTGTGATACAATGTCAGAGAGATCCATACACCTACACACAAGTTATTGTCATGAAACTAGAAAAATGCTTGTTTTTTGCCACTTTTTGGCCCCTAATTCCTAACATTTGGAGGCAATTACCCCCAAAATCAATCCCAGCATTCCCTTTGTGATATGGAACCTTGTGGTACAATGTCAGAGAGATCCATACACTTACACACAAGTTTTGTCTGGAAGTTACAAAAATGCTTATTTTTGGCCCCTTTTTGGCCCCTAATTCCTTAACTGTTGGTACCATAACCTCCAAAATCAATCCCCACCTTCCTTTTGTGGTATTGAACCTTATGTTAAAATTTCATTGAGATCCATTCACTTAAACTAAAGTTAGAGTGCGAAAACTAATGCGTCTTCGGACGACAACGACGACGACGCCAACGTCATACCAATATACGACCTAGGCATGGGGCGAATTACATTGCAATGTAATGCATTATATTACAATTACTTTGACCAAACCATGCATTATATTACAATTACAATTACATGCATTTATCAAAGTAATGCATTATATTACAATTACTTTTGCAAAGTAATGCCTTGAATTACACATTACATTTGAAAATTTTATGAAGTGAATAGAAAAATTAAACATCTTGAAAAACAACTAGAAGTCACAAAAGATTCTAGCATATGCAGCAACTGTTCCATGAATTGAATATAAGTATACATGTAAAAAGTCTATTTAATTCAGCTTTTACAATTTTAATTTAATGTTGACTTTACTTTTATAAATATATTCTTTGTTGTTTTTTTTTTATTTTAAACGAAATATTTAATTACTGTGAATTACTTCCCTAATTATAAAATAAACATAGACCTTAATTAATGAACAATTGTCTAAATGGTGAAAATATTGATTGTAAAACAAACTAATTAGTGTTTTATAACAAAGTTTAATTATCTTTTATTTAAGCAAGACAAGATATTCTTTGATCTTATGACAACAATACAGTTATGCTTTTCAAATATCAATCTTTTTATGCAGGAAAATGTATGAAATAAGATAAAATAAAGAATATATTCTCATGATTAACATATTCCTAGTTAATCAAGAAATCTTAAATTTGGTTTAGTTAAAACTCCAACAATATGTTAAAGATGTGGTATGTGAAAAAAGTAATGACATGTAATGCCATGTAATGCATGAAATTACACAACTTTTTGCTAAAGTAATGCATTATATTACAATTACATGTAATGCACAAATTGCTGCATTACACATTACATGCAATTACTTGGAAAAATGTAATGCATTATCATGCATTACAATTACAAATTTGCATTACCCCATGCCTGATACGACCACAAAAATTTTTTTGCGGTCGTATAAAAATGAATGCTGTATTGATTTCACAGCATAAGCAGTTGTATTATCTTTAATTATCCTTGGCATATAAGGTAACTTTGTGAAATTAAAACACCACAAGAACCACTTTTGGTTCGGAATCTTGAACCGGTTTGTCAAACATTTCTGCCTGTTCAATGACTTTACCATAAAAAGTATGAAAATTCTTTAAACGGAATCATTCTTCTCTATATCATTCAATCCCTATACTAGGGGGGGATAACATTTTTAGGAGTTAACTTATTCAAGATTTCGATTATCTTGACAATGCATGTAGGTTTCAGTAATAAAATATGTCCTTAAAAAAAGGCATCACTGCAAACACGCACATATTAAACCAACGAATCAATGCTGTAAACTCGTAAACTCGATAAAACATATATTCATTGTAGGAATGAACATGTCAATGTGGAAATATCCTATCCACCTCCACCTTTGCCAGACTGTTTGCCACATATATATATAGAATAATGGTATGAGTCAGATCTATAAAAAATTCATTAATTTTTTGTGAACTTAGGTAGTGAAATACTGTAAAAGGTGTCTTGTATTTAATTCATTTGTATTTTGGATTGAGTGGAATGATATCTGCAATAACGAATATTTGTTACCAATATGATGAAAATTTCGTGCTTCTAATACAAGATCGTTTAAATGAATTTAACGTTTACAGTGCAACTGCATTATATATGCTGACATTAAATATCATTGTGCAGCCATTTTCTAAACAGTGCATTAAATATCAAAATCATTTGAATATTATACGACTTTCCTATATCTCATGCATAAATGGCCTGCGTCATATTTGGCTCAACTTCTTGGAAATGTTTTGTTGTCAATGCTTTTCAACGTTTTAATTGATTTGGCCTTCAAACAGTTTCGATTCGAATGCTACGGATGAGTCCTATATAAAAGAAAAGCACGTCTGTTGTACAAGATTGTAAGGCTGGTATCATTGTTACAAATTTTATAGTCACATGCATTTAGTAACTTAAAAAAAAAATATATGTAAACAAGTGTTTGGAAAATTTACCTAAAAGTAATAAAAAAATAATCGTACCAAACTTAAACTTAAATGTAATAAACATTATATATAGAAACAAACGCACATACGTCTTATGTAAGGCTTTAAACATCAAGCTCATTTCAAAAAAGAGTCTCATTGTTTTTTTGTGCATTCCTACGATTATTTGTATACCAAATACATAATACACGTAAAAATAAAATTAGTAAGGTCTAAATGTCGACTTCGAACAGAAATTTTTACTTTTGAAATCATGAAATACTTTACTTTGAAACTCTAAATTTAGCTATTTGTTTAAGCTCAAAATTTTAGCTTTGAAAAATAAGGCTTTTTAGATTTTTACTGCTTCCCTATTATTCTTCAGCTTGTATGCAAACCCCTATTGTCAGAATACACCAACTACACATGAATAGCACATATGTACAGCTTTATTAAAAACTAAAGATAATATGATAGTAAAACATGCACGTCAATTTTGAAAGTATCTTTTACATACACGTTCTATGAAGAAGAAAAAAAATTATTTAGATTTTAAACTTATAAATACAACTTTTAACACCTTTGATACGACAATGTCTATCTATTTTCAAATAACTGTAAGTTTTTTAACAGATTGTGTACTGTATTTCGGATCATATTTCAATTCCAAACGATAAACTCTATTCTTTAATTCACATTTCTTTAATATCGACGCTCTCTTTTTTTCGTTTTCTGTTTGAATGAAAGCTGTGTAACTGTCTCCTAGTACTGTTTGCACAGACTTGTCGTACAGGTTAACCCATAAACTATTTTTGGAATGGTCATGAGCATCAACCACCTCTGCAGTTAATTTTGCTTTATTTTCACCATCGGTGTATTCTTCGCATTCGTCACAAAACCATCTTCCCTCTTTTTCACTAAGACTACCATGGGTCTCAACAACATCGCAGTGCTTGAAAATTTTCTGTGTATTACTATCCTTAACAAAAACTTCAATTTTTACAAAATTTATGTAAACAAGATGTTTATATTCTTTCATATCTTTTAGATCGTTCACTTTCATTGTTATTGGTGTTAAGAAGTGTTCGTCCTCGTCGTGCAAAAGGTCTTGCATATCATACCCAGGTATCTGTATAAACTTGACCACATCTCCACCAGTTAAATGATATACAATTCCACTGTAAGATTTAAACATACCAACTTCAACGTTTTGAAGAACCAGAACATCGCCTCGTCTATATGCGAAGGGAATTTTGTTATCAGACCTCCACATATTCATTATTATTCTTCCGTTATGGTCCTTCAACATGACTTCTTTTAAATAATTGTTCCATGGTCGCCTTGTGGGTCCAACCGAAGTTACAACAACCGGACCTATAGTTCTGAGTTTTCTGACATATCGTTTTTGCTTTATGTCATCTATTCGGAAATTTCTTTTCACTTGTTTTGGAATTTCGGCTCTCGAAACTACTTCGATTTTTGTCGTTTGATATAGGGTTAATTCTAAATTATTGGAATAGTCGCTTGTCTTTAATTGATAGCCGGAAATTCTATAAACCATATCATTTTCCATATTCTTGTCAATAAAGTCTGCATGATCGCCAAAAGCAGAAGCTTTTATGTATTCTGAGCCTGTTGACAATAACAATGCTATTCGAGGTTTCCTTGCATTCCGTCCAAATGGGATTATGGGTGATTTGTGATCAACAAGCACTGTGAGAATTTCGTTGTTCAATTTCTGGTTTGTATAAACTTGTTCTGTTGTTTTAAAACCTTTCCCTTCTTGATGTAATTGATAATGTACTGTACTATGTGACTAAAACATAAAAAGTTTTATTTTATAATATACATTATAGCGAAAATACTACATGTTTTTTTTTTCAATTATATCGGAAAGTATTCAAGAAATCTGAAACATTTGGAAAACAGTATTTATAAACGATAACTGACATTCGGGGGCGATTTGATGGTGACAAGACCTTACAAAAACAAGAGGCTCTCAAGAGCCTGAATCGCTCACCTGTAACTTTTTGCTGAAACTCTTTCATCAATGATTATTTTTGCTTTTCAATATTTATTAATGAGTGGCTTAAAAATGCCACTTAAATGTTCTTTGTAACTGTCATATTTTCTTCTAAAGGAAAAAAAAATGCATTTTACCCCTATGTTCCATTATAGCCATAGTGGCTATGTTTCTTGACGTGCAAGGAAATAAAATACAAAATTTATACTAGATACTTTGAAAGTCATTCATCCCTAGTTTGGCTAAAAAAAAATCAGCAGTTTCAAAGCAGAAGATTTTTTAAAGTAAGGCAAGCAAACTAGATGAACAAAGTGTTAAAAATTGTCTTTAAAGGGCAATAACTCCTTAAGAGGTCAATTGACAATTTTGGTCATATTACACTTTTTTGTAGATCTTACTTCGCTGAACATTTGCTGTTAACAGTTTATCTTTGTCTTCAATAATATTCAAGATAATCATCAAAAACTGCAAAATTTCCTTGAAATTACCAATTTAGTGGCAGCAACCTAACAATGGGTTGTTCGGTTCGGCTGAAAATTTCTAAGTTGATAGATCTTTACCTACGAAATATTTTTACCCCACGTCAGATTTGCTCTAAATGCTATAGTTTTTTAGAAATAAGTCAAAAACTGCATTTGACCCCTGTGTTCTATTTTTAGTAATGGCGGCCATGTTTGTTGATGGATCAAAACTTTGGATACAATTTATAAACTAGATACCCTAAGGAATATTCAGTTAAAGTTTGAAGGTATTTGGCCCAGTAGTTTCAGAGGAGAAGATTCTTGAAATAGTTTACGTCGACGACGACGACAGACGACAGACGACGACGGACGCCAAGTGATGGCATAAGCTCACATGGGGCACTTCGGGCCTGGTGAGCTAATGATCGAACCAAGCCATTAATTTTGCATGACTTCCAACTGTCAAGAACCTTGCCAGTGGTTCTTTTTGATATATATTTTAATGATTTAGTCTTTTTTCTGACTTTAGAATTGATGCCAGATTTTTACGCATTTTCTTTAATTTAATTTCGAACTTTTCTAGATCGGGTTAACACGATGTCAAATTTGATTAATTAACTTACAGGAGTTTCACCATCTCCATTCAAATTCAAAGTATACTCATATTCCATTTCCTCTACAGCTTGATATACATCATTTCCGCTTTTTAGGCTTAAAGTTTTCCTTTTGCAACTATGACTTTCATATGTTGTTAAACATCTTTTACGTGGATTTTGGTTTTCAATATTTTCTGAAAAAGATACATGTTTACTTTATAAAGATAACAAATGTCACTTGAAATAGAGTATAATTATTGTATTTTATTTACGACCAAAAGTTTTGTATTTCCACGCCGTTGTTTCTATTTCAAAATGGACTGGACAACGAGGACGAAAAGAACAAGTGTCATAAACTGTTCGCTCATCAACAAAGCATGCAATCGGCCCTGTAAACAGTACAAATGAGACACGTGACACTGAAAGGAAATATATATACAGTCTGAAATCTCAAATCGTAAGACTTTCTGTAAAACATAGACCTGGAGACAGTACTCTTCATGCTTCTTTAAGAATCATCATAACCGTTTGGCAAATGAGGTTGCGTTAATACTTCCAAATTTATTCAGTGTACAGACAATTTATTAAGGGATTGCACAAGGTCATGCATGTCTCAGATTGTTTATGACGTCCACACTCAATCTGATGAGTGTGTGCTGATTAACACTTTACTCTGGGAGAAGAGAGGCGAAAGATACCAAAGGGACATTCATACTCATAAGTCAAAAATAAACTGGCAACGCCATGGCTAAAAAAGAAAATAGACAACCAACAGTACACAAAACACAACATAGAAAACTAAAGACTGACCAACACGAACCCCACCAAAAACTGGGGGTGATCTCGGGTGCTGCAGAAGGATAAGCAGATCCTACTCCACATGTGGCACCGGTGACTGATTTATTATTATGCGTAGTTGGCTTTAACTTTAACAAGCTTCCAGTATCTGCGAATAATCTTATATCTGTGCAATTGTGTATTTTGTTTTACGTGCTTTGTTTCAATCTATTGATTACGTCCATTTACAACTGCTTTTACATTTAGTCATGCTGTTACAACCCTTCCCAGGTAAGGGAGAGGTTGAACATATTTAACCCCATCCCATTTTTTAAGGCGCCTGTCAAAAGTCAGGAGTCTGTATTTCAGTGGTTGTCATTGGTTCATGTCTGTCATATTTGTTTTTCGGGAATTGTATACATAATGCCGTCAATTTTGTCGTATGATCTCTAGACATCCTTTGGTTTGTTGTGTCTTTGGTGCGTCATTTCATTGACACAAAACCCAGTCTATACTATTCATACCTACATTACTGATAAAAAATTTCAATCTGTTACATTTATCTTTGACATAATTAGACGAAATACAGCCTGTATGTGTTCTGCAAATTAGAAATCAGCATGACAATAGAGAGCTTTATACACAATCCTGTTCTAGTGATTTGCATTACGAAATTTTAGAAATACCTTTGAATTCTGCAACCAAATCTACCATGTCTTTTCTTCCTTTTTCTTCCAATGCTGACAACAGTTCATTAGTTGCATTAGGAATTCCGACATCATTTCGTGAAATAGACTTACGCCATTGCATTAAACCCTCTAGGGATTGCCTATACAACTCATTTGGATAAGCTTTTTCAATCTTTTTTACAGAGCTGTACTGCAAACCTAGCTGAATTAATACTGGAACCCAATCATCTAGTAGGTGATCTGCAATTCTGCTTAAGAGGAAGTCACTGAAAACTGAAAGTTAAAAAATAAACATTTGAATAGGTGAAATACTGATGACAAAAGGTACGCAAATTGCCCACCCCTACCCTTTTCCCGCTGTGTTTTTGGGGATTTAAACAAAAATGTTCTAAAATTCCCTATTCATATACTAGTACGTGGTAAACTAGATGCGCTTGAAGCTTAAACACATTCCAGGCACTTTGACCTATAAATGTTAACTTTTTATACATTTTGACTTGGATGGAGAGTTGTCTCATTGGCACTCCTACCACATCTTCTTACTTATACAGACACACGTGGGAAAGAAATCAGTTTGAATCTAAAGATCTTTTAAAAAGGAAGAAAGTCCAGAAGCGACCACAAAGTGAGTTTCACTCTGTTATCAATTACTATGATGGCATTACAATGAAATTATACATTACTAATAGCCCAACAAAATTGTGGACACTGAATTTATCCTTTAATATTTTTTAATGATGTTAATAACCGATTCAATGTCGTACGATCACAGGCATCAAAAATTATCCTGCTCTGTCATCAACGATCCTGTCCTCCAGGATAAAGAAACAAAACATAAATGAGTAAAGTCGGTAGTTTTACATCTAAAATGTTGTCAAATGTCCACGTCTGGAAAATGTCGATCTAAATAGGACATTAAAGTTTTAAAGTTCAAAATATAAATTAAGCATGATAAGAAAAGTTGTTCACTTTTTGAAGGAACAGATATCTGTTTCGGTTGTATATGTACCGCATTTATTATATATACAGATAAGAAGATGTGGTATGATTCCTAATGCGAAAACTTCACCAGACCAAATGACGTTGAAGTTAACAACTATAGATCACCGTACGGCCTTCCAACATGAGCAAAACCCACACTGCAATTCATATAAAAGGCCCCTAAATGACAAATGTAAAACAATTCAATCGAGAAAACGAACGGCCTTATTTATTTATAAAACAATGAACGAGAAACAAATAGGATATTCAGCAAAAAACAACAACCACTGAATTACAGGCTCTTGACTTGGGACAGACACATACCGAATTTGGCGGGGTTAAACAGGTTTACGGGCGCCCAAACCTCCCCTAGCATTGGACAGTGGTGTAACAGTTCAACATATGAACAAACTATAAAAATCAGTTGAAAAGGGCTTAACACATTAGATCGATACAAAGCAGAAAAATAAGTTACAAAAACACAGACCGGACGTGCAGGGAAATTATACATCCCCACAACAAAAAAGACACTAAGTACAGATCTGAGATTACTCGCAGTTACTGACAGCTAATCTAAAGTCATAACAACTAATAAAAAATCGTGTATCTAAGACTAAAATATCAAGCAGTACACACCTAATATCCAATGGATTTAGTGTAAAAACGTCATTAACAGTCAATGAAAACATGAACTTGTGCAATGCCAAAATACAGGTATCAACAGATTGCAGAACCGTGAATGTGCATGGTTTTAATTTACTGATAACAAAATCAATATATACCGATAAAAGCAATATTCAAAGATCTAATGACTGTGTTAAATTGGTAACCTTTAAAAATAAGTTTATTTAAAGGATCGATATGTTTACAAAGATCGTATCTAAATTTCCGGGCTCGGTACACAACATCTCCGTAAAAATTACGATGTGCTATAAAGTTTGAAATAAGTTTTCTACAGGTAAACTTCTAAACCAAAACATCACAACAGACAAGAGCATAGTGAACGAGTTGTGATATATAAACACCGTAAGATGGTGCCAAAGAAACATCATCAAAAAAAGGAAAATTAACAATAGGAAAAGAAAAATCATTCCTTTTGTCGTAAATGTTTGTGCATGTAGAGTTTCCCGATTAAAACTGTAATATCTTAATCTAGGAAAGGACAGTTATTACTGTTTGTATTTGATTTATTTAAAGTAAGTTCCTTGAAAATTCTTGATTATTCAACGAAAAAATATCATCAACAAACGATAAGTGTTGTTGAATTTATCAATTAAAGAAAATTAGACGGGTCTTTACTAACTTTGGTCATAAACTGTGATTCATCACAGTATAAGAACAAGTCTGCTATTAAAGGGGCACAATTGGTGCCCATGGGAATACCTACAACATGTCGATACACTTTATTGCCTAAACGTACATAAAAAGTGCCAAGGAGAAGATTAGTAGTCTTCTTTGTAAAACAATTCCTTAAATTTCGGGTACCCCTTTCCATTCTGAGAATCAAGGAACCAGCACTGAGTTATTTCATTCGAAAGTCAATGGATTTAAGATTCTTTCTACTGCACTAACGTACAATAAATTATACAAACGATTTTAAATTTGTATAATTTGCAGACTTGTATAATGTTCAAAATGAAAACGTCGCCATTATACATTGTATAACTTTCGTATTGGTCTGACGTGCACTTATTTGCAGAGACGCGCGTTTTAGAATGGAGACCAGTTCACATTTTGTTACCTTGAATTCCTTAATAAAAACATTATAAATTTATCAAACAACATCCTTTATATGTTCACAAGACTTGTGTCTGTCAGATATCAATATTTCTTTTTTTTCATTTTGTCTTCATATTCGCTTTAGGGCATCAGCATTAAGGGAGCTACCATTTGATTTTATAGGGGGGGGGGGGCTAGGATGAAATTTTTTTCCCTCTACTAGGTCCTGCTTTTTTTTTTATTAGTTTATCCTGAACCCCCCCCCCCCCCCCAATCGGTACTACTGAAAGAATGCCATGTCAAAATATAAGAACAAAATCAATACAGGATATTTTTCTGTATGCAATTGAGGCCCAAGAAAGTTGTCTACGGCATTTCGCACCAACAAATGCATTATTTCACAACACTCGGATTCATTGCATTTAACTTTCATCTAGTTGGTATCTGACTTTGAATAATATATACTGAGGTACATTTACCAAAATCTCTGTTTGAAAGTTATGTTTTTTTTGTCGAAAACGTATTGAAATATCAAACTCTGTTTTTTGTTTACTTTTAACGAGACGAATCTATTGTATACATCTCGCCAGTTCAGTTAAGTGTATTTTTCTTTTTCAGAGTGCAAATCAAAATTGATTTTTTGTAAAAATCAAATGTCAGATTTCTTCTTATGATAGGCGCTTAAGGCATGGACCATTTGACTATTTTGACAAAAAAAAAAATAATCTGTCCTATTCAGTTGCTAAAAAAAATATTCTGCCTTCATCTTCAGTAAGTATGAAATGTATGATGTATTTTTTTTCTTCGCTCGCTTCGCTCGCTAAAAAGATCATCCACACATTGTAGTGTACTAGTACCTCACTTTCAAGATCTATGGACAAACCGACAGACAGGACAGGACACACTTAATTAATCCTACATAACCCCTCCCCCCACCACCTAAAACTTCATTTGTGAGGGGTATAAAAACCTTCACTGTTTATATGTACCACATCTAGTAACTTACCCTGTGTTTCACTTTATATTTGTCTCGTATTATATTAATGTATAAGTGAAATTGTCGGGCAACCTATGACAGTATTTGTTAGATTTCTTTGCCAGCTATTCATATCAAATTGTTCATATTGCCTCGCATCCGTGCGTCTTCAATGGTACAATTACGACAATATTGACTTTAGCAAAGAATTCTGCTCAAACCGGTGCTAGGGGCTGTCTTGAAACTTTCCTTGAGGCGAGAATGATTTCTCTGTGTTGAAGATCTCACAGTAATTTTCAAGATGAAGAACAGCAATAAAGGCGCTGTTTCTTTGCTGCAAATTTATTATGTAAAATTGAGAATGGAAATGGGGAATGTGTCAAAGAGACAACAACCCGACCATAGAACAGACAACAGCAGAAGGTCAACAACAGGTCTTCAATGCAGCGAGAAATTCCCGCACCCGGAGGCGTCCTTCAGCTGGCCCCTAAACAAATATATATACTAGTTCAGTGGTAATGAACGCCATACTAAACTCCAAATTGTACACAAGAAACTAAAATTAAAAATAATACAAGACTAACAAAGGCTAGAGGCTCCTGACTTGGGACAGGCGCAAAAATGCGGCGGGGTTGAACATGTTTATGAGATCTCAACCCTCCCCTATACCTCTAGCCAATGTAGAAAAGTAAACGCATAACAATACGCACATTAAAATTCAGTTCATGAGAAGTCCGAGTCTGATGTCAGAAGATGTAACCAAAGAAAATAAACAAAATGACAATAATACATAAATAACAACAGACTACTAGCAGTTAACTGACATGCCAGCTCCAGACTTCAATTAAACTGATTGAAAGATTATGTCTTCATCATATGAATATCAGGCACAATCCTTCCCGTTTACATGTTTTGATTTTGTGTCAGGATCTTGTTCAACATATCCCTTCCTACTCATAATGGATATATATGTATTACATGTACTTGTCCTATTAAAATAAATGGTTTGTTACACGCTGAGGCTAGAATAATTTCTCCATGTTGAAGATCTCACTGTAATTTTCAAGATGAAGAACAGCAATAAAAGCGTGTACATGTTTTGATTTTGTGTCAGGATCTTGTTCACCATATCCCATTCTATTCATTATTGATATATATGTATTACTTGTCTTATTAAAATGAATGGTTTGTTGCACAAACATGTAAATGGAAAAATACTCAGTACCTCTTACATGTCCACATAATCTGATATTTTTAGGACATTGACATTGCATACCAAAATTAATACAATACATTGAGACTTGAGAAAGCATGTTTTGCTGAAAGGACTTAATATCTATTTGTTATAGAACTTCTATTTTAAATATAAAGACGAACCAGCATCAGTATTACCACCACAATCAATTGCTCTTTTATACAGTAGAATTGCTGATAGACTAGAAGTATTGAGTCACGCTAAACTGTTGTTAAAATCTAGATATGAATAACCATATCAGACCAAATGACGTAGAAGGTTAACAACAATAGGTCCCCGTACGGCCTTCAACAATGAGTAGAACCAAGACTGCATAGCAAGCTATAAAAGACGCCGAAATGACAATTTAAAACAATTATAAAAAGAAAATTAACAACCGGATTTATGTAAAAAATAACAAATGAAAAACAAATATATGAAAAACAGCAGCAAACGACAACCACTGAATTACAGGCTCCTGGCTTTGGACAGGCATATACAAAATATGGCGAGGTTAAACATGTTTGGGTGGCGCCGATCCCTCCCCTAACTTGAGACAGTGATGCAATAGCACAGCACAAGAACAAACTATACAAAACAATAAACCAAAATTAAATATGATATACAGCAATAAAAACAACCACTGAATGACAGGAACATACAGAATGTAGGGCTACTTATGTTTTATACAACATCGTAACGTCTACATTTGACTATTTATGTGAGACATTTGACAGAACATTGCAAAACGCTATTTAAGCGGAAGGCTGTTGCCATGAACAGACAGAAGTAGGTTTATGTAGAATGTATGCAGCGTTGAGACATTGAAATTGTTCTATGGTTTATTTTTTGTAAAGTTAAACAAAATGTGTTTATCAGTGAGCTGCAGAAAAAAAATACATGCTTTGCTCTATTGATATATTAATTACTAGTATGGATAGTAACACTATATGGAGTCAAACTGACATGTTTTGCCATATGGTTGCCAACATAACTATTTATGTGTTACATTGGTAAAATTTCTTACCTAAGTTCTTACTTTTGTTATCTATGTGACTCTCATCGTCTGATGAATCGATATTGTTTTCCTGAACCAGGGCCATACTGCAAGTGTGTCAATGGCTAATTCGCACTTTTCTATAAATGAAAAACATTGTTCATGCATCAAGATTGGTTACAAAACTATGGTATAATGTATGGAATTGCTAACACATAGCTAAAATATATATGTAATCTAGTTATAGAATACATGTAACTAGAGGCTCTCAAGAGCCTGAATCGCTCACCTGTATTTCAGAGGAGAAGATTTTTAAATGTTAGCAAACTTGATGAACAAATTGTGTAAAATTGTCTTTAAAGGGCAATAACTCCTTAAGAGGTCAATTGACAATTATGGTCATATCAACTTTTTTTGTAGATCTTACTTTGCTGAACATTATTGCTGCTTACAGTTTATATATATCTATAATAATATTCAAAATAATAACAAATAAAAACTGCAAAAATTTTTGAAAACTACCAATTCGGTGGCAGCAACCCAACAATGGGTTGTTCGATTCGTCTGAAAATTTCAGTGCAGATAGATCTTGACCAATTAAACAATTTTACCCCTGTCACATTTGCTCTAAAAGATTTAGTTTTTGAGATATAAGCCAAAAACTGCATTTGACCCTTATGTTCTATTTTTAGCCATGGCGGCCATGTTTGTCGATGGATACAAACTTCGGACATAATTTATAAACAAGATACCCTAAGGAATATTTAATTAAAGTTTGAAGGTAATTGGCCCAGTAGTTTCAGAGAAGGTTTTTTGAATGTTAGCAAACTTGATGAACAAATTGTGTAAATTGTCTTTAAAGGGCAATAACTCCTTAAGGGGTCAATTGACAATTATGGTCATATTAACTTTTTTGTAGATCTTACTTTGCTGAGCATTATTGCTGCTTACAGTTTATATATATCTATGATAATATTCAAAATAATAACAAAAAACTGCAAAATTTTGTTAAAAACTACCAATTCGATGGCAGCAACCCAACAATGGTTTGTTTGATTCGTCTGAAAATTTCAGAGCTGATAGATCTTAACCAATTGAACAATTTTACCCCATGTCATATTTGCTCTAAAAGCTTTAGTTTTTGAGATATAAGCCAAAAATTGCATTTGACCCCTATGTTCTATTTTAGCCATGGCGGCCATGTTTGTCGATGGATCAAAACCTCGGATACAATTTATAAACTAGATACCCTAAGAAACATTTCGTTAAAGCTTGAAGGTATTTGGCCTGGTAGTTTCATAGAAGATTTTTGAAATAGTTTACGACGACAGACGACGATAGACGACAACAGACGACGACGACGACAGACAACGACGACAGACGACGGACGACGACGGACGCCGAGTGATGGCATAAGCTCACATGGGGCCCTTCGGGCCCCGGTGTGCTAAAAATAAGGATATGTGGTATGATTGTCAATGAGACAACTATCCACCAAAGTTCAAATGAAGTGGATGTAAGCAATTATAGGCAACCGTACGGCCTTCGACAATGAGAAAAACCCATACCTTATGGTCGGCTTTAAATGGCCCCGACATGATAAATATGAAACATTTTAATTGAGAAAACTAACGGCATAATTTATAACAATACAATTTACGAAAAACAAATATGACAGACATGCTTGCTTTCAGTTATGGATACTAGTAACTAATACTCGAACTCTATCTCACTTAAAATTGATTCAAAATATCTAGTTGATAATCACCACATCAGATTCAGCATTCATCAATTAACTATTTATTTACCTCTTCGAAGTTTTTGAATAACCATTTATTATTTCACCACATACCTGTCATACATAAATGCATTCAAAAACATGACTCAGTTATGACCTTATTTTTTGTTTGTATTATATTTCTAAGTTGATGTTTACTGATGAATATACAGTGTATGCAAACCAAGCTTTCTTTTGCGTTATACACGCATAGTGATAAAGCTGAATAAAATGCTTCGCTGGGGCGCAGCTTGATACGACCGCAGAGGTCGAACCCTGAACAGTTGGGGCAAGTATGGACACAACATTCAAGCTTGATACAGCTCTGAATTTGGATTGTTATTAAATATTTGAAACAGCATAGGTTTCTGACACAGAAAGAATGTGGTCTAAGAACTTGAATTTTTTTAATTTACCTATTATGGTCCAATGTCCAAAATCAAAATACATGGTTAGATTCAGCATATCAAAGAACCCCATATATTCAATTTTTGTTAAAATCAAACAAAGTTTAATTTTGGACCCCAACTTGGACAAACTTGAAAACTGGGCCCATAATCAAAAATCTCAACACATGTTTAGATTCAGCATATCAAAGAACCCCATGAATTCAATTTTTGCTAAAATCAAACTAAGTTTAATTTTGGACCCTTTGGACCTCAATGAAGACCAATTTAAAAAACGGGACTTAAAATTAAAAATCTAAATACACGGTTAGATTTGGAATATCAAAGAACCCCAATAATTCAATTTTTGATGAAATCAAACAAAGTTTAATTTTGGACCCTTTTGACCTCAATATGAACCAATTTGATAGCGGGGCCTACAAATAAAAAATCTAAATACATGGTTAGATTCAGCATATCAAAGAACCTCATATATTCAATTTTTGTTGAAATCAAACAAAGTTTATTTTTGGACCCCAATTTGGACCAACTTGAAATCTGGGCCAAAAAACAAAAATCTAAATACATGTTTAGATTCAGCATATCAAAGAACCTCATATATTCAATTTTTGCTAAAATCAAACAAAGTTTAATTTTGGACCCTTTGGACCTTAATGTAGACTATTTTGAAAACTGGACCCAAAATTAAAAATTTAAATACACTGTTAGATTCGGCATAACAAATAAATAAATGTGATCAAAGATTTAACAAATCTAATGCGCCATACTGTGCAATTAAAGATTACTTCTTGAAATTTTTCAATATTTGAAATTTGAAAAAAAATAATATTTGAAGAATAATTCTTTTTAATTTCTGAAATCTGAAATGAGAAAAAATTGACCCCCCACAATTTCTTTTTATCCCCCCCCTTTTTTCCCCAAAAAAATTCTTTCCCTCAAGATATGGTGATAATCTCAATTCAAATTTCCAATGGAGTTGGCAACCATAATTACCCATTTAAATTTACCATAGTGCTAACTTAATCTATTTTATAATAGAATTAAAAATATAGTGTCAAATCTTTCATATGGATTTTTTTGCAAAAAAAAATGATGCAACATTTGCAGATATTTTTACTGGTCTTCCTTTATAAATATGCATTTCTTTAAACATAATTTAAAAGCAGTGTAAGGGAAGTAACCAAAACGTTGTATTTGGATTACCTCCCTTACACTGTTTTAAATTATCTTTATTGTTCATTAACCATTACTTTATACATAATTTAAAAGCAGTGTAAGGGAGATAATTTCAATGATGTATTTGATTTATCTCCCTTACACTGCTTTAAATTATGTTTTGTACTAAAGTATTTGTCCATTAACCAGGACAACCTTGTTTTTCCCCCTTTTTTGCCCCTAATTCCTAAACGGTTTGAGCCATAACCCCCCAAAGCAAATCCTAACCATCCCTTTGTGGTATGGAAACTTGTAGTATAATTTCAGAGAGATCCATACACCGTTCCACATTTATTGTCTGGAAACTAGAAAATGCTTATTTTTGGCCCCTAATTCCTTAACTGTTGGTACCATAACCCCCAAAATCAATCCCAACCTTCCTTTTGTGGTATTTAACCTTATGGTAAAATTTCAAAAAGATCCATTCACTTAAACTAAAGTTAGAGTGCGAAAACCAATGTGTCTTCGGACGACGACGCCGGACGACGACGACGACGACGACGACGCCAACGTCATACCAATATACGACCACAAAATTTTTTTGCGGTCGTATAAAAACGGTCAAAAAATGTATTTGATTGTAAAGGGAAATTTTAACTATACAAACAAACTTCATTTAAATTTGCATTTAAAAAATGGACGGATGAATGTTTTCATGTAGCATGCAGTCGTCTATTTAACATTCCTGTCCAGGACGAAAATTAAATATTTGGATACTAAACAAATATGAACCCACCTTAGTACTAGACCAAATTTCTTAGCTGGATTTGCAAGATCAGGTTAAACAGTCATCATGAAAAAATGCAATTCCACCCAAAAACATAGTAATGACTCCGAGAACTGACAGTCTTGCTCTACCTATAAAGACCGCGTGGTTACAGGACAAGCAGCAAATGTCAATCTGGTTTTACCCGGCTGCCGGTCGCTATCAAACTATGACCCACGCACTTGAAGCGAGCACGTTACCAAGATTAATACTTAATAATCTGCACACTTTTGCAAACAAATAAGCTACAGGAACTACTTTCACAGACAAGAAATATCTATGCTACTTACGATATCTATGTGTTTACCACGTGGGGTTTCCGTAATAGTTATACACCGAGGGATAGGTGTGTCTGGATAAGAAACCCCGTCGGCCGGAGGCCGGAGGGGTTTCTTATCCAGACACGCCGTATCCCGAGGTGTATAACTAACTTACACCCCATTCTAAACCCTATATTTGTTAACATTGATTATTAAATGAAAAAAAAAATGAAAAAAACGATAGCATATTTATTGATAATATCAAACCATGATTTATAAGAATTTTTTTTATTACATAAAACCCCACTAGTAACCTTTCTTTGATTATCTTCGTTCAAACTTTGACAAGTGAGTATATTTTACAAATGTCAAAGTTGTTTTACATATTCCCGTTAAATCCATGTGCTAATATGGATCAGCAGGTCAAGGTTGACTGTTTCGTGTATTCTTCTTACTAACAAAAAATACATCATGCTCCTTGTATTCAGTTGTCAAGATGGACGGGTATAAGACAGACGACATTTTGTGGCAAGCGTTGAATTTGGTAGAAGAGACTAAAGATGAAGACAATATTATAACCCAAAGTACTTACCTGTATCAGTTTAATAAAGGTAATCATAACTTTATTTTATATCTTTAATACGGTTTTATAGAACAAAAGCTCCTCCCCCCTCTTCTCGGGAAAAAAAAACCAATCATATTCGGACATACTAAGGGATAGGTGTGTCTGCATTAGAAACCCGACTACCAGACACGCTCAACACACAAAGATACAGATTTAATATTTAGGAACTCCCTTTTTGGGGGCAATCAAGGGCTGATCCAGCCAGGGGTTCCCAACTCAAGAGAAAAAAAAGGGGGGGAAGGTCCAACCATTCAAATTGCATTGATCTTTTAAATAAAAGTCGGGTCCAACCCGCGGAACCTCCACCCCCTGATCGGCCACTGGGTAACTGAGGGGGAGGGGGTCCGGGAGTTAGAATCCCCGTTTTTCAATGCTTTAGAAATTAGAATAGAGACATATGACTGGGATAAAAAAAAATATACCTTCAAGCAAAGGAGTATTTAAAGGATAATTTTGTATTCAAAATAGATGCTTAATTTTTTTTTTCGCTATTGGATTTTCCTAAAATGTGTTTTTTTAATATCTTGAAACAATTTGTAGTGAACACTATTAGTAATTTCTTATGTTCATGCTATTTAAAAAAATAATCAATTTCTATTGTTACGAATAACAATGGACTTTGTTTGCGGGATATAGAAGCAGGGGTTTCCAGAAACCCCGCTCGTCACACCCTGTAGTCAAAATCCATTGTTATTCGTAACAATAGATCTATTCAATTTACACTTGTTTCAGAAATAGAAACTATGAAGTATAACAATAGAACTGGGGTGTAAATTCCTGTTTATACCTTGCATTTCAAATTTGTTGTGATCAAACTGTAAAGAATAGCATTAGGAAATTTATGATCTATTTTTAGATGATATTTACGTAATCTCTCTCATTATAAATTATGCATTATTTCACTGATAAAACAATAATTATTTTTTTTAATGAAGTGAGGTATAACTAAGAACGGGATGTATGTTGATACTTTGCATTTCAAATTAAACTTTGTCATAGTCCCAATGTTAAAAATAAAAGTCTGGAAATTTTATCTCTATTTTATACGGTGTTTTTTAATCATACGTGTCAAGTCTAGACTCGAGACAACAATGGAAAATGTATTTGCTACTTTGTTCGACTTATAGGACAGAAAACTTACGTCACCACAAGTAAATATGATAGTATGTCAAGATTACACTCAATACGGTCACCAGCATGACAGAAATATGAAAAATAATTGGAAACGTACACGAACAAAGACCACTGTCACCGAAAAAAAGAAGTTATATTGCCTAGCATTATTTTTCTCAGAAATGAAAAATCAAAAAAGTCAAATGGTTGATATTTCTGATCTAGTCGAATTATGGTGTATGTATATAAAGTCACCATGGAAACTTCTAGAACACTGTAGAAGTTTAAATACACATCGTAGATTAGGATAATTCTGGAATTATTATGTAAATCAAATAGAAATTTCTAATCATTCCATCAGTATCTATGATTGTTCTATTAATTTCTAAACTGCACAATTATGACATTATTTTGTAAACTATAAAGAGGTCACAATTCAATTGTGTAACATCTTTTAAGGCCACATAAAACAAATTAGGCCAAGCTAAATAATCATAACAATTCCAATCTCATAACAAATGTAATTGTTAAATGCTTTTAAAATGATCACATATTTTTCAGTTCATGTAAAAGATAGGCGAGGGATACCAAAGGGATATTCAATCTCATAAGTCGAAAAGTCATGGCTGAAAAATAAAAAAAAAAGACAAACAGACAAACAGCAGTGCACAAAAAACAACATAGAAAACCTAAGACTGAGCAACACGAACCCCACCAAACACTGTAGGTGATCTCAGGTGCTCTGGAAGGGTAAGCAGAACCTACTCCACATTAAATGCATTAAGTGCTTAATGTGACATGCCGACATGCAAAGCAATTTAAAAGTTTAATAAAGAATACAAGTAGCTTCTTTTCTAAACTTCATTAGATACTGTATAATGATATGTTGTATGATTGCCAATGAGACAGAAGGAAAAAAATGTGAACAGCTTTGTGTCTGTAAAACATAAACGCTCTTCATTTATAGAACACAATAAAAGAAGTGAAATAAACCAAATGGACTATGAAAAAGTAATTTAAAATATCACAAAACAGCGACCTGGTGTTAAAAACGAGTAATACCTGGTGAAATATCAATGATATACCGACACATAAGTATACTCAACCATGGTTGTGTTAAACTCATTATCAATGGCAATAAAATATAAAAATGTGTGTGCTTACTTTCATTTTTTTATATTGATGGAGTAACAACTCGTGGCTTTTTTATGATGGTAAATCTCAAATCAGTCTTACATGTTAGCTACCTTCGGGCCTTCCTACCGTTTTGATTTGAGCGTCACTGGTGAGTCTTATGAAAACAAAACTCGCGCCTGGTGTACAAAATTATAAACCTGGTATCTTTGATGCGTTTTTTTTTTATATACTGACACATAATGATACTCAACTACATTGTGTTCAATTTTTTGTTTTGCTTAATGAAACTGTTTTAAAGATATGAGGTCTAGCAATTTCGGTTGTTTTTCTCCTAATTTTATAAAAAATAAAAAGCAAGTTTGGTAGGATTTTTGTACAAAGGTGCTATATTGAATTGAAATCGGTTAATGTTGTTTATTTAATGTTTAACATCCAGAGGAAACTATTTCATGATATTCGGACATTTTCACATTAAAAAATATATACAATAGGTAGGTTTGTATAATGAATCATCCGACCAGGATGAATGTAGCAAGTTAAAACTGCCACTGGAAAAGGATGGTATGCTGGATAGGTTCTGTAAGCAAACATCGTTAAAACCTGTGCATTGATTAAGAGTATATACATTGTCTGTTTGAAATTTACAACATGCTACACGGAAATTACACCACACTACACACAAGAATACTACTCTCTACTGGTGTCCATCTGAAGTCTTTGTTTTACGTTGTATATACTTAAAGGAATTAGGGTTTCTAAATTAAAAAAAATAAAGGGAAATTATTTTTCTATACATCCAACACTGACGTAAATTGTACTACTAGGCAAAAACGTCAACCAAGTATCCTCTCGTACATTATTCAGTTTTTACAATTTGACTCCGAATAAGACACTTCTTTGAAATGAATCAGAATTGAGGGTGTTTTCCAAAAAAAAAATACTGTAAAAATGTAGTAGACAAAAACATGGAAAGCAAATCCTGAAGACAGGTGCTGTCCATGGATGCATAATGCTACAAATATCTTTTCATTCTAAAATAGTCCTGTTTGTCGTAGGCTTATTTCTGTTTAATCGATCTCCACTGTCTGTTGTCGTTTACATGTTAACCTCCGGTCTTGCCTTTTTTTTTATTACTTTTCATTTTGATTGATGAAAAGTATTATTATTTCCCATAAAAGTAATGCAAAAACCATATGTTTTTTTTTCTTCTAAATATGAATTTTCAAACAAATTTGCTTGATTGAGACCTGAAAGTATGACCCTATTAAAATGTGCATGTCCTATAATTAAATTTAAACCCTTGATATGGGCTGTTAATCACACGTGACCTTTTCGAGTCAGCATAAAAGGGTTTGATGTGTATAAAAGACAGCTAATCGATTAATTGATTTTGTTTGTTAAATTGTTTCTCGACCCTGTTACGAAATGACAAGACTAGACACAGCTACCTGAAACATCGCTATTGGTGAATCATGTGTCTACAGACACTGGAATGAGAGGTTCGCAAGGAACTGCGTTTTTAAGGTCGTCAACATTCAGGAAGGAAATGTAATGATGTGGGGTGTCAGTACCTACGTCCTAAAAACTCAACTACTACACATTCCCGTCAACCGTAACGCGCCCAATACAGAGGTAAAGTTTTGACACCACACATGCTGTCCGCAATAAACCTCCGTGGTAAAGTTTTTTCAGCACGACAACGCTCTCTCGCACACAACTCGTGGTACTGTTGGCTTTCTAGCCAACCAGAACGTTATAGTGCTCCCCTGGTCGTGAAAGTCACCAGATAAGGACAAAATAGGACGTTTGTGGGTTGATTTGGATGAACGCCGTAAACTCGGCTGAAGCAAAAATTGAAGAAATTCCGCATGACGGTTTTCAGGGGTTGCTGGAGAGTATTCCGAAACAGGTCCTATTCCGAAACAGGTCTGAGCTGTATAACAGGCTAATGGTGGGCTCAACAGATATTTAAAGTGGCGTTATTGAACGCTATGGACTTAAATGTGATTAATCTGATTAGTCTAGTTGAACAATCAGTGTGCCATATTTTGGTGTAATGTGATACTTAATTCTGTATTTAAAAGGATGTTGAAATTTTGAAGTAGATTATCTATTTTTTCACATGCTG